AAAGTCGACATTTCAGGTTTACACCTTCACCAGGGCTGGGGAGGGGGATGGGAGCTCAGAAATAAATGGGGGGTGGGGATCCTGGGGGAAGATTGGTGGGATGGTGATAGGTGGATGCAGGTAGGGAACTGTAGAGATTGGTCAGTGGGAAGGGTGGGACAAATAGGTAGGAAAGATGATGGACAGGTAGTGTCAGGTCAAGGATGTGGGGATGACAGAGAAGGCTGGACATGGGATGAGGCCAGGAGTGGGGAGATTTTGAAAATGGTGAATTCTATGTTGAGGTCATTGGGCTGTAAGCTCCCAAAGCAGAATATGTGGTGTTTGTGTGTGAGGTCATTGTGACACTGGACAAGGCCTAGGATCGACATGTCACCAAGGGAGTGGGAGGGGGAATTAAAATGGTTGGCAACCGGAAGGTGTTGTTGATTATCACGTACAGAGTGCAGGTGCTCCGTGAATCAGTCACCAAGTCTGCGCTTGGTCTCACTAATGCAGAGGAGACCACATTGGAAGCAACGGATACAGTAGACCAGGTTGGAGGATGTACAGGTGAACTCCTGTTGGATTTGGAAAGATTTTCTGGAGCCTTGGACAGAGGTGAGAGGGGAAGCATAGGGGCAGGTGTAGCACCTCCTGCTGTTGCAGGGAAAGGTGCCGAGTGTGGTGGGGTTGGTGGGGAATGTGGAGCCATGGAGCGAGCGGACCCTACAAAAGGCAGATGGGGTGGGGAGGGAAATATCTCTTTGGTGGAGGAGTCAGATTGCAGGTGGCCGAGGATGATGCACTGGATGCAGTGGTATGTGAGGACCAGGGGGACTCTGTCCTAATTTTTTTTTTGGGCGGGGAGAGAGGAAGAAGGGAGTTTGAGGGCAGAAGTGCAGGAAATGCAAGAGATACAGTTCGGATATTATGATTCAACGGAGGGGGTAAGTTGCGGTCCTTGAAATAGGAGGACATCTGAGATATCTGGGAGTGGAACACTCGATCTTGTGAGTAGATGCAGTGGAGGAATCGGGAGTACGTGATTGCATTCTTGCAGGATGATCGGTGAGAGGATGTGTAGTCAAGGTAGCCATGGGAGTTGGTGGGTTTGAAATAGATGTTGGTGCTGAGATGGTTACCGTAGATGGAGATGAAGAGGTCCAGGAAGGGGAGGAAGGTATTTGAGATGGTCAAGGTGAATTTGAGGTTCGGGTGAAAGGTGTTAGTAAAATTGATGAACTGTTCAAGCTCCTCATGGGAGCAAGAGGCAGCGCCGATACAGTCATCAATATAGCGGAGGAAGTGGTGAGGGGTGGTGCCAGTGTAAAAGCAGAAGAGGGACTGTTCCACGTATCCTCCAAGGAGGTAGGCATACCTCAAACCCATATGGGTGCCCCACAGCCATGCCTTTAGTTTGGAGGAAGGGGGAGGAGTTAAAGAAAAAGTTGCTAAGGGTAAGGACAAGGCAGCATATTTAGACAGATTAAGGGATACGTCCTGTTGGAAGATTAAATATTGTGATGGATTAAAATTATGCAGCTGCTTCTGCTATCCTAGAGAGCCTCATGGATATCCAATGTTGTGTTGTTAAATCTGATCTGAATTTATCCCACTTAACACAGTGGTAGTGTCATACAATACAATGGAGGGTGTCCTTAGTGTGGACGAAGGACTTCATCTTCACAAGGACTGTGCATCGGTCACTGCCACCAATAACTGCTATGGACAACACTTCTACAGAGTAAAACAAACTACAAGGGGATAACAGCTTCACGCAATCCTGTTTTTCACGCGCACATATAAAACTTATCATTTCTCATTAGCTTGTCAATCCACATACAGTGGGGTAGTACTTCTACCGTGTGAAACAAGCTATATTTGGATAATAGCTTAGTGCAATCCTGTTTTCCACTGACTGTCCATACAGCATTTTTCACAATACACCGAACAGCGTAATCATCAGCAACTATTACTGAGACAACAAGGTGCAGAGCTGGATGAACACAGCATCATAGAAGCAGAAAGGCTGACGTTTCGGGCCTAGACCCTTCATCAGAAAAGGGGGAGGGGAAGGGGGTTCTGAAATAAATAGGGAGAGGGGGGGAGGCGGATAGAAGATGGATAGAGGAGAGGATAGGTGGGGAAGAAACAAATAGGTCGAAGAGGCGGGGATGGAGCCAGTAAAGGTGAGTGTAGGTGGGGAGTTAGGGAGGGGATAGGTCAGTCCAGGGAGGATGGACAGGTCAAGGGAGCGGGATGAGGTTAGTAGGTAGGAGATGGGGGTGCGGCTTGAGGTGGGAGGAGGGGATAGGTGGGAGGAAGAACAGGTGAGGGAGGCGGGGACAAGCTGGACTGGTTTTGGGATGCGGTAGGGGGAGGGGAGATTTTGAGGCTTGTGAAATCCACATTGATACCATTGGGCTGCAGGGTTCCCAAGCGGAATATGAGTTGCTGCTCCTGCAACCTTCGGGTGGCATCCTTGTGGCACTGCAGGAGGCCCAGGATGGACATGTCGTCTGAGGAATGGGAGGGGGAGTTGAAATGGTTTGCGACTGGGAGGTGCAGTTGTTTATTGCGAACCGAGCGTAGGTGTTCTGCAAAGCGGTCCCCGAGCCTCCACTTGGTTTCCCCGATGTAGAGGAGGCCACAATGGGTACAGCGGATGCAGTATACCACATTGGCAGATGTGCAGGTGAACATCTGCTTGATGTATTACTAGCTGTGACCTTAGGAAGCAGAATGTTCAGCACCATTTCTGATTCCTCAGATCCCAAGACAGTCCAAGTTCAAATGCAGAAAGACCTGGAAAATATCTAGGTTTAGGCTGATAAGTAACAATACACAGAACAGTGCAATCATCAGCAACTACTGCCGGCTATGACCTTATGACGCAAAATATTTAGCGCCATTTGCGAATTCTCAGGTACTGAGGCAGTCCATGTCCAAATGCAGATAGACCTGGACAATATCCAGTCTTACGCTGATAAGTGGCAGGTAACATTCATGCCATACAAATGCCAGGTAATAAATATCTTTAATAAAGAGAATCTATCTACCTATTATCCTTGACATACAACGGCACTACCATCACGGAATTCCCCACTATATATAGATATCTATATCTCTATTTTATATATGTATAAATGAAACAATGGCTGGTATTAAAGTTAGCTCTACAATTGTATCTCCTTTTGGTTGAAATGGAATTGCATCCATAACAAAACAAAGAAATCATGTCTCATCAACTTAATTGAGTTTTTTTTGAAGAAGTAAGGAAGAGGCCTGATGAAGGCAGAGAGGTGGACATGATCGATATGGACTTGGCTCCTCATGGTAGGCAGGTTAGCAAGGTTCGATCACATGGAATACAGGGAGAACTAGCCATTTGGATACAGAACTGGCTCAAAAACAGAATACAGAGGGTAGCGGTGGGGAGTTGCTTCTCAGACCGGAGGCCAGTGACCTTTAGTGTGCCACAAGGATCAGCGCTGGGTCCACTGTTTTTTGTCATTTATATAAATGACTTGGATGTGAACATAGGAGGTACGGTTAATAAGTTTGCAGATGACACCAAAATTGGAAGTGTAGTGGACGGCGAAGGTTACCTCAGAGTACAACAGGACCTTGATCAGATGAGCCAATGCGCCGAGGAGTGGCAGATGGAGTTTAATTTAGATAAATCTGAGGTGTTGTATTTTGGAAAGGCAAATCAGGGCAGGACTTGTGCACAAAGTCCTGGGGACTGCTGCCAAACAAAGAGATCTTGGTGTGCAAGTTCATAGTTCTTTGAAAGTGGATTTGCAGGTAGATAGGTCAGAGAAAAAGGTACTGTTTGGTATGCTTGCCTTTATTGGTCAGTGTGTATAGAGTTGAAAGGTCATATTGCGGCTGTACAGGACATTGGTTAGGCCACTTTTGGAATAATGCGTTCAATTCTGGTCTCCCTGCTATAGCAAAGATGTTGTGTATCTTGCAAGAGTTCAGAAAAAATTTAAAAGGATGTTAACAGGGTTGGAGGGTTTGCGCTATAGGGAGAGGCTGAATAGGTTGGGCTTATTTTCCCTGGAGCATTGAAGGCTGAGGGGTGACGTTATAGAAGTTTTTAAAATCATGAAGGGTATATATAGGGTGAACAAAGGTCTTTTGCCTGGTGTGGGTGAGATGGGTTGTGGGGTGGCGGGGGCACACAAGGTTTAAGATGACAGGAGAAAGATTTTAAGAGGGACCCAAGGGGGCAACTTTTCCACACAGGAGGGTAGTGCATGTATGTAATGAGCTGCCACAGGAAGTGGGATGCTGGCACAATTACAACATTTAAAAAGCATCTGAATGTGTATACGAATAGGAAGGGTTTAAGAGGGATATGGGCCAAATGCTGGCAAATAGGATTAAATTTATTTAGGATATCTGGTTGGCATGAATGAGTTGGGCCGAAGGATCTGTTTCTGTGCTGTACAGCTCCATGACTCTATAAGGAAGTTTGCAAGTGGACAATTCAGCCCCACATAGCACCTTTCCGTAATATGGTGTGATCGTTACCAGAAAGGAGGGCAAATATAAAATAGATCTGAAGGAAAAATATTGAAATTAGGAGATAGAAGGTAAAACAAGCACATTTATTTATACTCTCTGAAACAAGAAAATGAAAACATACAGTTTTGGTCCTGTTCGTATTCAAATGAAACAGAGACCAAGATTCACAGAAACATTGCCGTATCAAGGGTCACTAGATAGGCAGTGAAACTGCAGAGTAGTGATTTAAGCTCACTTATACTGCCAATTCTGCTTATGCAGTAAGTACTGTGAAATTACATAATTCTGGTTATTCTTTGTGCAGAAAATCACATTTTTTAACCTTTATTACTGCCCACGCTATGTATTTTTGTACAACCCATTTCTTATTAGAAATAATATCAGTGCAATTTTATTTACCAGATCTGTATCTATGGATAAGCAGACAAACACTATTTAAAATACTCTTTACTCTAGATGATTACAGCTACAGAACTACTTACCCCTATAATCGAATGCAACTACATGGTAGCCTTGAGAGCTCAGGACCTAAAACAGGAAGAAAAGAAAATCAAAAATGTAGAGAAGGACAAATAAGTTCAGTATTGATATATTAACAGACAATTAATAAATATTTTGCACTCAACGATAAGCATAGAATCTTCTCTGGACTCCCACAGCATACAAGTGAACAACATGTACATTTTCAGAGGAATATCAAGTATATCCAGGGCTTCAAACTGTTCAAATACAGTAATACAGAGAAAATATATTTCTTATTGTTGAGTGTGGTTCATCCCCAATTCTTATTGGGATCAGGTCATCACACAAAGAAAACAATTCCAATGATGACTTTCAATATCATTAAATAAGTTTATGAACATGTTGCTGCTAACCCTTATGAATTTATTAAAAGTAACATGAAGAAAATGACAAATTTGTCTTTTTCAGAGTTTTGTTGCTATACTGTAAGCACAACACAGACATTCCTTATTACATTAAAGTTGCAGCTTCTCAGTAATTTGTCTACATTTTTAAATGGGCTCTAAAGTCAAAGCTAGAGAAAAATACAAGTGAGATGCCAAGATAAACTGCATTTCAGTAATGTGGATTTGCACATATAAAGCTTATCATTTCTCATTAGCTTGTCAATCCACAAACTACAATTTGGATAATAGCTTAGTGTAATCCTGTTTTCCACTGACTGTCCATACTTGCAATTATACAGCGTTTTTCACAATACACTGAACAATGCAATCACCAGCAACTATTACTGACAGTGACCTTAGGATGCATAATGTTCAGCACCATTTCCGATTCCTCAGATACCGAGGCAGTCCAAGTTCAAATACAGAAAGACCTGGACAATATCTAGGTTTAGGCTGATAAGTGGCAAGTAACACTCATGCCATACAAATGGCAGGCAATAACCATTTCCAAAAGAGAGAATCTGTCCATTGTCCCTTGACATTCAATGATGTTACCATCACTGAATCCCCCACTATCACAATCCTGGGCATTACCATTGACTGGAGACTAAACAGAACTCACCGTATAAATAGAGTGACTACAAATCCTATGGCAATTAACTCACCTCCTGACTCCAAAAAACCTGTCCACCATCTATAACGCACAAATCAGGCTTGTGATGGAACTCAGCTGGATAAGCTCAGCTTCAACAACATTCAAGAAGCTTGACACCATACAGGACAAAGCCGCCCCCACATCCACAAATATTCACTCCCTCCACCACTGGTATTCAACGGCAGCAGTGTGTATATCCTATAAGATGCACTGCAGAAATTCACCAATGATCCTTAGACAGCACCTTCCAAACGCAGTACCAATTTCATCTCGAAGGCCAAGGGCAGCACCGACTCACCACCGACTTGGAAATTAGTCCCTATTCTTTCAGTGACATTGGGCCAAAATTTTGGAACTCCCTCCTTAACAGCATTGAGAGTCTACCCATAGAAAGTGGGCTGCAGTGATTCAAGGCAGCAACTCACTTTAACTGTCTCAAGGGCAACTAGGAATAGACAATAAATACCCCATGAATGAATTTAAAACAACACTGTAAAATGCCTCGTAATGTCATGAGGTTAAATATTTATTTTTTTTAAAAAAAAAATCACTGCTATAGCATAGGAAACATCAATTTGCTGGCAGATAGACAAGGTAAATCCCACAAGCACTAATGACCTAAGGGCCAGATTATTTATTTCTGCAATGTTGCCTGAATGATGAGTTTTGGCCAGGACACCAGGGAGAACCTTCCTGATTTTCAAGTTGTGCCGTAGAATTTTGTTGTATTTCGATATTGTTCAATTTTGTGTCAGTGCACAGGCATCAGAAACAGGACAGGACTATGGGATGTCTACACCACAGGACGTCTATAAATCAGTTATCCCCACTCTCCTACCCTTTCCCAATAACCCAACAAATATTAATCTTCTGGCGTTTATCCAAATCCCCTTTAAAAACTGCAAATCAATCTATGTCCACCACAGAAAAACAATTCTAGTTCCTGATCTTTTGTTGCCTTCCATTCTTTAGCCAATCACCACAAAACTGTTTTCCTCTGGTTTTCAATCACCCTAATGGAAACACAGTTTCTCTCTGCCTTCTACCTCAACCTTTCATGATTGAGCATATCGATCAAATCTCTCTTCTCCAAGGAGAGGAATGCTAGCTTTGCCAATTTATCCTAGAAACTCAAATCCCTCATCCTAGAAATCATATTCATAAAACTTTTTCTGTACTCAAACAAACATTCACATCCTTCATCAAAGGGTGGTGTCTAAAATTAGGAGAAGTGGTGGTACAGCGGCAAAGTAATTGGACTAGTATCCCAGAGGCTCCAGCTAAAAACTCAGTTCACTATTATCATTCAAAGGAAATCTGCCACCCCAAGCTAGTTGACGTACATGTGATTTCAGACTCTCAGCAATGTGGTTATCTTAAAGCGTGACTCTTAGTGTCAAAAAGCCACTACAAAAAAGAAGTCAAAAAGCAGTGAGGCAGTACAGTGGTTCAGCGGTTAGCACTACTGTCTCAGCGCCAGAGACCCAGGCTCGAATCCACCCTTGTGTGGAGTTTGCATATTCTCCCGTGTCTGACTGGGTTTCCTCTGGTTTCTTCCCACAGTACAAAGATGTGCCGGTTCGATGGATTGGCCATGGTAAATTGCCCATTGTGTCCAGGGATGTTTAGATTAAGTGGGTTAGACATGGAAAATGAAGGGGTACAGGAATGGGTCTGGGTGGGATGTTCTTCAGAGGGGCAGTGTGGACTTGTTGGACCGAATGGCCTGTTTCCACACTGTAGGGACTCTATGACTAAACTAATAGTGCCCAGGCATGTACAGGCTAGGTGGATTAGCCATGGCAAAATGAATGGTTACATGGATAGGGTAGGGGATGGGTCTGGGTGAGATGCTGAGGGACAGTGTGGACTCGATGGGCCAAACGGCCTACTTCCACTCTGTAGGGATTTTATGATTCTACGATTCAATGCAACTGTACAGAACACTTAACACCAACCTAGATACCAGTAACAACATGACACACCTAGCCCTGTTGTCCCGCACTGATATCCTGACCAACATTTGCTTCAAAATTGGGAGAACTGTCCCACAGAGTAAACAAGCAACACCCTAACATAGTCATACTTGCTGAGTCATACTTAACATAAAATGGCTCAAACACCATTATAATTCCTGGGTGTGTCCTGTTCCAAAGGGTAGCACAGTGGCATCCAGTCAGGGGGAAAATCATCCTGTAATTCCTCAATATTGACTCCAGACCTCTCAAAGTCTCACAGCATCAGGTCAAACAAGAACAAGAAAACCTCCCAAACCTCCTGATCACCACTGACTACCATTTCCTTAGCTGATAAATCAGTACCCCATATTGAAAATCATTTGGAAGCAGCGAAGGTGACAAGGGCAAAGAATGTTCTCAGTGGGGCACTTTAACATCCATTTTGAAGGCTTGGTTGCATTAATACTGCTCAACTTGGTAGAGTCCTAAAGAAACTTAACTGTTAGACTAGGTCTTCGACAAACGTTGAGGAAACAAAGAAGGATGGGGTGGGGAACCTACTTGATCGTGTTGTCCCAATTCTACCTGCTGCAGATGCGCTTAACCATGGCGCTGTTAATAGGAATGACTGACAGACAGCCCTTGTGGACACAAGGTCCCATCTTCACACTGAAGTCAGTCAGAGAGACAAGGAAACCAGAGGGAGGATCCTGTCCAGTGAGAGAAGAATCTTACCTAGAATCCACCAACAGGCAAAGAAGTGGGGCTAGCCACACACCTACCAATTTGAAAAGCCAAGATCAGATCTTCAATGCAAGGTTCAACAGTCCTTCAACGGGAGCAAAGTCAGAAATCTGCTGTCACAGATAGTAACACAATGAAATTATCACCAAAATACCGATCTACATTTCCTCAGTGAGCAAAAGAGAATTATAGCAACTACAATATTTTCAGCTTCCATCTCAAAAGACTCAAAGTAACAGGGACTTTTTTTGGGGCTTAAAAACCTAATTGCTTGCTACCCTTTTTTGCAATCAATTTGTCTTGTGTGTATGTCTCTTCTGACTGTGACAGAATAGGTGTTGTTGCAAGTACAGTTTGTGTGGAGAAATAAACATTTACTTAAGCAAAAGAAAGAACTGCAGGCTGGACATTAAAACAAAAACAAATTGCTGGAGAAACTCAGCAGGTCTGGCAGTATTTGTGGAAAGAAAGCAGAGTTAATATAGAGTCAGGTGACTGTTCATCAGAAATGTAACATTTACTCTACCTTTCTAAAAAGAAATCCTGAAAAAACCTGTCAGGTGTTTACAGAACAGGAGACAGCAATATAGCCCATCATGTCCACTCCAGTCAATAAAGATCTCACTACAATAATCCCACTTTCTAGCTTTTGGCCCATAGCCCTGGAAGCTATGGCAACACAAGTAAACATTAAAATATTGTTCAAATGCTTCTAGAGCTTCAGTCAATGAGTTCCAGAGTTCTACCATCCCATGTCTATTCAATGTGGAGCTGCAGGAACACAGCAGGCCAGGCAGCATCAGAGGAGCAGGAAAGCTGACGTTTTGGGTCAGGGCCCATTTTCAGAAATGGGGGAGGGAGAAGGGAGCTCAGAAATAAATAGTTGGGGGGGGGGGGGGCGGGAGAAGATAGGTGGGGGGGGGGGGGTGGACAGGTGGGAGAGAAGATGGACAGGTTGTGTCAGGTCAAGGAGGCAGGGATGAGAGGGAGGGTTGGTCATGGGATGAGGCCAGGGGTGGGAGATTTTGAAACTGGTAAAATCCACATTGGCCTAAATTGGTCATGTTAACACTATTGCTTTGCAAATAGGGAGGTGAGATAAGATGCCATGTCACCAAGGTGTGTACACAAACTGAGATTTGGTCAGCAAAGACTGCTGATTGGTTGTAATCTACAACTGGCCATAATTTAATCAAAGGTTAGCAGGCTGACAACAACTCTTAATTACTCCTGGGTAGCTGAACAGCTTGTATGTGTGAACAA